AAATGGATTTGGCTCACGTGATAGAGCATTTTCTTCATAAACGTGAGCTTAAGAGTTCAAGCCAAAAGCTGGGCGCCGGTGGCTCACGCCTATAATCCTAGCTACTCAGGAGGCTGAGATCTGAAGATTGCTGTTCAAAGCCAGCCTGGGCAGGAAAGTCTGGGAGACGCTTATCTCCAGTTAACTACCAGAAAACCGGAAGTGGCGCTATGGCTCAACAGGTTGAGCGCTGGCCTTGAACTGAAGAGCACTGGGACAGCGCCCACAAGCCCCACGACCGACCAAAAAAAAAAAAAAAAGAAGAAGAGAGAGAGTTCAAGCCATAGTATCGGCCGGGAAGAAAAAAAAAAAAGAAAATTTTCATACAGACTCAAGACTAGGAGTCACCATCGTAATCTTTTTTTTCCCCAAAATAAAAAATCTCTTGTTTCCATTTCCTGGATCACCATTGTAATCCTGCAACCAGTATTAATTTTTTTCAAAAATCTAACACTGCCTTTCTTTCGGCTTATCTGATCTATCTGCTGTTTCCTGTCAAACTAATACTGTGTTTCTGCCTTCTAGCCATGATTGCACTAATGGATATCTTCCACCTGTAACATAGTTCTGAACTCTCCCAATTTAGTAAAAATGTATATGTATTCCAGGCCTTTGAATGTCTTATTGGAAAAATGCTTATTCAAGAGTGAGGTACAAGGCTCCGGTAGTTAGTCACACCTATATAATCTTAGCTACTCAGGAGGCTCAGATCTGAAGGGTAGAGGTTGGAAGCTAGCCAAGACAGAAAAATCATTGAGGCTCCCTTCCTAATTAACCACAAAAAATTTGGCCCGGGGGGGGGGGGGGGGGTTTGGGAGGGGCGGGGAGGATTGGTTGGGGGTGGGGGTGGGGGTGGGGGGGGAGGATGGGAAGAGATGGGAAGGGGAAACAAAGGAGGAGGCTACAATGCTTGATAAGAAATGTACTCATTATCTTGCCCATGTAATTGTAACTCCTCTGTACAGTATTTTCACAATAAAAAATAAATAAAAAAAGAAAAAAGAAAAAAAAATTGGCTGTAGGTGTGGTTCAAGTGGTAGAGTATCAGCCTTGAGAAAGAAATTACAAAGAGTGCAAGAGGCATAAACTCCTCTCTCCCAAAAGGTAAGGTATAAGACTAGGAGGGTGGGTCATGCCTTTAAGGGCAAGTGAGTGGGAAGAATCAATACTGTAGTATACAACTTCTATGTAACGTTAAAGCTGTTCTAAAAATTAAGTTTATTTTTAAAAAGTACGATAAAATTATATATTTTCACCTAGCAGATGGAAGATATAAAAATATAACGTATTTGTTTTCTTCAGATTGTGGGGATATAGGCACTCCCAATATATTAATAGTAGGAATATAAATTGGAAGCTCTACTGGGAGTTAATTTGAGGATTCAACTGAAATGTACATGCACATTCCTTTAAAGCAGCAATTAATCTATTAATAGGAACATCGATACAATAAATATTCATCTATACACGTTATTATTCCTTGCAACACTCCTTATAGCAAAATGTTGGTTTTAACTTTAATATCCAAGAAATGACAGGCATTCAATGAAAAAGTAACAATTAAAAGGAGGCAAAGTCCTCAGTGTGTTCCTATAAAGTTCAGAGTATACCTATTGTATTAGCAAGGTTCAAAACTATGTATAGCATGCTTCTGTGTAAAAAGGTGAAATGTGTTTACTTACATAGACACAAAATATCTTTGGGGGAACTTCAGAGCTGAGGGAAAAGGGAAGGAAAAAAACTCCGATGTGATATTTGTCCCCCTTCAATAGTTTGTTGCTGTTGTTTTAAAACAAGGTCTCCCTATGTATCCCTATGTATTTTAGGCTAGCCTAAAATTCTTTCTGTGATCCTCTTGCCTCAGCTTCCCACTTGCTGGGATTACAGGTATGCATCACTAAACCGAGCTTCCCTCTGAATTATTAACCACATACATGACTCTCGCCCCCTAGGGGATTCTTTTTTAATTAAAGAAAACCCTTCTTATAACACAAGGAAACAAAAAAAAAATGTGGGGTTGGGGTTTGCACTACTTGGATTTAAATCTTAGTTCATAGTTATTGACATGAAAGTATAGCAGGGCTTTTGAGGTGACCCATGTGTACTGTTTTTGTAAGTTACTCGAGTATGTGAGATTCTAGAGGTATCTAGTTTGAGTTAGATTTCTCATATATAAAGTAGGGGTAGTATTTCAGAAGAATAGGTTGTTTATTTGAATAAATATTCCAAGGCTCTCCAGTAGGTTTAGACTTATTTAAACGCCCTTGTATTGCCCATGTTCAAGTTAAGCAAAAGACCAAAAAGCAGCTATGGGGCAACAAGAAACAAAAAGTAATATTTTGTACTCCTTCTCAGAACTTCTGGCAGATTGAAGATATGGTATTAGATCTAAAGTTTATCATATACATATAGAAGTTTATGATATGCACACAAAGAAATGAAGGCTGACAAATGTGTACTGCTGTGAATCTGACATAGAACAAGGACTGAAGGGAAGCACAAAATGTGAGTCTGCATCAGGAAATCCTGAGAGGTGGTGGAGTTTTGTTTCACTGCTCAAACTGTCTACTTAACCCATTAATCAATAATGACATGGAAAGACACACCGAGGTTGCTAGAGTGCTTGTCCTCTGGGAAGATGGCACAGTGGAACTCACATCACATCACACTTGTATCCTATCCTTCTCATGAAGCATGCAGTCTATTGGTGCTCAAGTGAGACACATCACATTACTGATCCAGTAGGTGGAATAAGTGGAGAATGACTAACTAAAAGATATGCTCAGAGCTGTGGAATTATGACTGGGAAACAAGGTCATCAGTACTGGATGCACCTGAATGGAACTGTATGTCAGCCCAAATGGTAGGGCGGTAGGGGCATTCAGAAAATAGTACTAGAAGGAAAAATCAGGCTGTCATTAACTCTACTAAACTTTTTAACCCTGTTAACACTAGCTGTTTACCACAGCAGCCCTCACCACACATCAAAAAGATATCAGTGTATGAAAAGCTTTCAGATATGTAGATAAAATCCATGGGCACAGGAAACTCACTGGGAAGTACTTCCACGAATTTACCCCAGAAGAATTTATGACAACTGAAAAGTATTCATTTGTTTTTCTCATAATTAAACAAGATTAAGACACATACTCCTCAACATATTTATTTTCAGAATTTGTCCTTCTGAGGTGTTTTATTGGCAGCATACTTCTGATGAATACATTATAAAGCAATTCTATGTGAAAATGTAACAATGAACTACTCTACTGCATAACTAATGTAAACTAGTAATAAATAGAGTGAAACCTTGTTTAAACATGGACTTTGGATGATAATGATTCTCATCATATATTCATCAATTATAAAGCATGGATCATATTGGTGTGTTATATCAATGGTAGGAGATATATGTATGTGTATGGTTGGAAGTACATGAGAATTCTCTTTTTGCACAATTTTGCTGTTAAACTATGACCAAATATGTAAGTAAATAAATAAAAATAAAGAGTAATTCCAACATATGGAAGATGTTAAGAAAAACAAAAATATCTCTTGAGTGTCCTCATCAACTACTAGATTAACAACTGTGCATATTTTAAATTCCCCTGAGATAGCATAAGTGCTGGTAAAAGCAAAATAAACACAGCATCTTTTTAAAGTATCAAAATAGATATGCAGCCAGGCGCCAGTGGCTCATGCCTGTAATCCTAACCACTCAAGAGGCTAAGATCTGGGGATCATGGTTTGCAACTAACCCAGGCAGGAAAGTCCATGATATGACGCTCTTATCTTCAATTAACCACCAAAAAAACCTGAAAGTGGATCTGTGTATATGTGTGCGTGCACATACACAAAACAAAATAGTTATATATAAAGTATTAATACAGAAAAATGTAGACTTCTCAGCTGGGCACCAGGCTCACAGCTGTATACCTAATCAGAAGGCTGAGATCAAGGCTATCCTGGGCAGAAAAGTTTGAGACTCTCTTTTCAATCCATATTTGGGCACTGTAGTAGCACAGGACAGTCATCCTAAGTAGCACATGCCTGTCATCTTAAGCAATGTGGGAAACTGAGATTAGGAAGATAGTGGTTCCAGGCCAGCTTGGGGAGAAAAGTTGAGATTTCATCTCAACAGAGGGAAGTTGGACTTGTTGGTGCATACCTGTCATACCAGCTATGATGGGAAGCCAAAAATAGGTAGATTGTGTTACAGGCACATGTTTGAGCAGGAAGTCAGACCCAATAGCTCAAAAACAACAAAAAAAAATAGGGCTGGGGGTGTGGGGGGAGTATAGTGTCTGCCTAGCAAGGGTGAAGCCCTGACTTCAAATCTCAGTGTGACTCCCAAACCCAATAAACTTGTTTTCAGCTAATATATTAGCTGGTTAAGAGGGACTTTAAATTTCTGGGCTTTACAAAAAGGTTGCCTTAACATTACGGGTAAAAAAAAATGCGTAATTTCTAACCTTTCAAAATGAATATTTGTTCAACAAGGACATATATCTAAGTCTCCAAATTCAACACAGTACACTGAGCCTCTCCAGTAAATCCTAAAGCATTAGTAGACTGATATAGAAGCCACCTGACATTCTCCAGCACCTTCTATGTACTAGAAAAAAAAAAAAAAACACTTCACAGTAGAGACAGAGCAACAAGACACAGCAGGCAGGCCTTTAGCTTCTTCTTTATTTTACTTAGGAAATTTGTAGTAAGTTCTCTGGTAGTACTAAGAAGAACACTTAAGTGCACTTCAAAACATTGGTAACATGAAAATGAATGTAGGGCTGGGAAGGTGGCTCAGTGGTAGAGTGCTTGCCTTGCATGCATGAGGCCCTGGGTTCGATTCCTCAGCACCACATAAGCAAAAAGAAAAAAGCCAGAAGTGGCGCTGTGGCTCAAGTGGTAGAGCGCTAGCCTTGAGCTGAAGAGCTGAGGGATAGTGCCCAGTCCCAGAGTTCAGGCCCCACGACTGGACCCAAAATAAAAAAGAAAGAAAATGAATGTATTCTCACAAAACACTTGAGAAAATGAACCAATATGAACCAATTCTTTCATTTTGCTGACAAAATATAATGCCCCAAATGAAGTTATTTGTCCAATTAATTAGGCAGACACAAGATGTCAATCAGAATTTCTTCCAAAATACTATATTCTCTTACTGAATGTGGAACTTAACTTATATACTAACTATGTGATGGGAGGTGAATATTTACAGACAATTGGGGAAATGTCTTCATACTCAACTGAAAATTTTGAGTATACTAATCTCAAAAGTTATGTTCTCCAACAGAACTTTAGAAGATTTAATGGTCTGGATTATTTTCACCTTATTTTAGTTTTGAGGGATGACAAAACTTACCTAAATAAGTAGTTGCTCCTTTTACATAGTTAAAAGTCAGACCATATGAATTCTGGCATTTAGTCTATACATTAGACTAACTATCACCAATAATCATTTCAAAAATATTTTCTTCCTATTGTGTAAATTGTCATTACATTCACATGTGCTCAGAGCAAAAGAAATTCATCTCAGCCACTTAAAAACTTCCAAGTATTTTACTTTAACTTTAAAAATATTGTGCATTTGTGACTTAAGTCAAATACAAAATAAAAGTATGTTCCAAGGCTTAAAAGAAGGGTTTTTCTTGAAAAACAAAAAATACACAAAAGCAGCAGTTATAAATCATACGCTAACAACAAAACATGAGGATATCAATATAATAAAAAATAACTAAATTACCTGAATCTCACGTTTTAAAAATAACCTAATTCAGGACTGAGGTATAGTCTAGTTGTTTAGTGTTGATAGTGTACATGTGCAGCCCTGGCTTTCATCCTTAGTACCATGAACAAAAAGCAAAACAGAAAATCATAATTCAAATCCCATAACCACTTATTGCTTTCTTCTCAGAATTTCTACATTATTGTAAGTCATAATACACGTCTTTGAATTGTCCATAATGTTTTCTTACAGATACAAATCATGTCAAGCTGTGGAGAGCAAATGTCATTGACCACAGAGATTTATAGCATCTAACCATTAATACTGAACATAATTAGCACACTTTAAAAGATGGTTGGCATGCTATTTTTGGCAGACGTGACTTCATAATTCACATAGGGTAGGGTGGAAGATACATTATATTGATAGTATGTGGGACGCAGGAGAGTATGGTATACACTACGCACAGAGAACCCACATTTAACTCAGTATTATGTTGACAAAGAACTTAAAATGGTTTTTTACATAATTCCAAAAGCAAAATTAATGAGCATAATTCTAAACAGCACAGTATTTGAATGAAAAACACACACAAACATATAGCTTATTGCAATAAAAGATTAGTAAGTGTAAACACTACTGTTTTTAGCATCATCATAACCCATAGGCAATGAACAATCCAGATTGAACATGCTAGCTCAATCAAATGCAATCTTCATATCACGTTTTTGCTGTTAACTCTTCTACCTTCATATTCATCATGCCTATAAGGAGGGAAATGTACACAATCATTAATCTGAGGTCAAAATATTAAAGAAACATAATAATACATCCTTCCTTAACAATGATTAAAAACTTTACATATCAGCTAGGTGCTAGTGGCTCATGCTTGTAATCCAAGCTACTCAGGAGGCTGAGATCTGAGGATTGAGTTCAAAACCAGCTCAGGCAAGAAGTCCTTCCAATTAACCAGCAAAAACCCAGAAGTGGAGCTCAAGTATAAGAGTGCTAGCCTTGAGCAAAGAACCTCAGAGACAATGTCCAGGCCCTGAATTCAAGCCCCAGGACTACCACAAAAAAAAATAAATAAAAACTTCACATATCAATTGTCTGAAGTTTTGAAGTTAACATTTTTTGGTTATTCTTGGTTTTCATTTTTTATTCTTTGTAGCCTAAAATCACAATTTAATTGATGGTATAGATTTGAATGGTTCTTAGCTATTTATAAGGCCACTGGCCAGTTGCTGGTGGCTCATACCTATAATATTAGGTATGAAGGAGGCTGAGATCTGAAGGATGAAGATTTAAATCCAGCCCAGGCAGAAAAAGTCCATGAGACTCTGTCTCTAAAACTACTATCAAAAATCAGGCCTGGATGTGTGGCTCAATGAGTGGAGCATCAGTTGAGCATGAGCCCTGAGTTTAAATATTAGTACTGCCAAAACAAAATGCATAAAAACAAAGAAAAAAAGAGAAAAAGAGACAAACAAGAAAAAATAAGTCATATATTGGCTATACACAGTTGCTCAAGCTTGTAATCCTAGTTTCTTGGGAGGTGGAGAGAAAGAGATTAAAGGCTAGCCTGGGCATAACAGTTCACAAGACTCCATCTCAATTAATATCTAGGTGTGGTGATACATGCCTGTTATTCCTGCTACAAAGGAAGCACAAAGGCTAGGCACAGTGACATAAACTTGTCATCTACAGTGGGAAGCACACAAGTAGAAGGATCATAGCCCAGGCGGGCCCCAGAATAAAGTGAAACACTACTTTGAAAATAATCAAGGCATAAAAAGGGCTGGAGGTGTGGTTCTAGTGGTAGAGTACCTGCCCAGTAAGCTCGGGGCCATGAGTTCAATCCCCAGTACCACCAAAAAAAAGTATATTTACATATTTATTCCTTTCTAATATTTTACTTGACTTGCTGGTTCTTAAATTTGGTTAGGGGCAGTGTATTAGAAAATGCCATTATAATAACATAGTATGTTTCTCACATTAAAATAAGTTGTCGAAATAAGTATTATAATGTAGTCTCTCTACCAACATGCACAAGTAAATCTGGTTATTTGCTGTGTCCAGTAATGCTTACTAGTGGATAGCAATAACCAGTGCTTACAAAATAAGAAAAATTTTATAAAGCAAAAACTAAAAAATTTAAGCACTGTGCTTTCTTTTTTTTCCCCAGCCAACTGGAGCAGCCCTAATGTTTATTCTGTTTTTAAAGTACGATATTTTATCTTAACTTATAAAAAATAAACATTCTGCAAGATTACACTTTAGGAACAAGTAATTTAAATAGTGGTTGTCTGCTAGGAAAACAGTATGTTGAGCCTGGCAAAATAAATCCTCCATTTGTTGTAATAACTAACTGCAGGGTGCAATTGTGACCCCCCAGATAACAGTTTTAATGTGATGAAAACACAAATGAGCATTACAACAAACCATTAACTTGAGATCCAAAATGTCAACATAAGCACAATCTACTAATTTGCTGATTGATACATATTAAATGCAAAAGAGGACATTTATAACAATCTAAAAAATCAATACAATGTCAAGAAACACAAGTCAGCATTATTAAGAAAACCTTACTATTAACATTTTGTCATGTCCTCTAATTGAATTCTCAAGATGATTTCTGTAGTAACATATTTTAAAATGTTTTAAGATTCCAATTCCTTAAGAGCAAGTAACTGCACCAAGGCACTTAAGAGTCCTGGTCCCTAGACCAGGATTGGTTTCTGTCAGTGTAGTAAATTATATACCCCCCTAGAAACAAAATGGTAATAGTAGTTAATACTTGCAGAAAGTAATATGCCATATACATCTTGGCATTATTAAAAATGATTATGCAGAATATGAAACTAAGAAAAAATTTCATTCTCAAGAAACAAAATGTGAGTCCATAAAATGGACACAGCAATGAAGGAATGAACTGCTGAATGTGTAACAACATGAATGAACAGTGAAAATATATCTCAAGTGCAAGAAGCCAGACATGCTCTACTGGTCGCCACATATAAATCTGATTTCATTTCTATAAATTCTCTAAAAAGAGTAAATCTACAAAGACAGAAAGGGGATTAGTGGTTATCTCAGATTTTGGATTGGACAGGGCAGAAACCGCAAACAGGTAAGAGGAAATACAATATGGTGGAAATACAAATTAGTATAATTTACCTGAAAGAAAATACATATCAGAAACTTTTAAAATATGCACAACTAGTCATGTGCCGGCTCACGCCTATAATCCTAACTACTCAGGACGCTGAGATCTGAGGATTGTGGTATAAAGCCAGTCCCAGCAGGAAAGCCCATGAGACTCCAATTAACTACCAAAAAGCTAGAATTGGAGATGTGACTCAAGTGGTAGAGCACTAGTCTGGAACAAAGAAAAAAAATCTCAGGAATAGAGCCCAGGCCCTAAGTTCAAGCCCCAGGAATCACACACACACACACACACACACACACACACACACACACACACACACACACACACACACACACACACACACAGTATATACACCTTTTTAGCTTGTAAGAAGTATACTTATATCAGTAATCATGTATGTAAATTAAAATTTACCTACAGCTAGGTTGACTTCAACACAATTTAAAATAATAAAAGAACTTTGGAATATTAACTAATGCTTAACAGTGGTTTATTAATTTTTAAAAGATGGTATAATAATACAGGCAAATATTTAGCATCCATTAAACATCAAAAGATATTCATGTACACTGCCTGTCAGCTTTATATATCTTTCTCCATCAAAAGCTGGATACAGTATGTTATGTGCCTACCAGAGAACAAATAAATAGAAAACATATCCTGGACCAGAAGTTCATACTAGACATAGCTAAATACTGAAAGTGTAAATATAATAAATGCAAAATTTTTATGTAGAAGCTCAATTTTAAGTAAGCAGTCATATAAATATATAACTGCAATGTTGTGATAAATGCTGATTATGTGGTATGTAGACACAGTATGAATGTAAATGGAGAGGATAAACAATTATTAGAATAAGATAAGGAATGCTTCCTAGAAGAGATGGCTCCGAAATTACATCTTAATGTGGGAACCAGTCAGAAAATGATGGGGTGAGGTACTCTAGAGAGAGGAAACTGAACAAACATTGAAAATATGTAACAGGAAAGAATATTATGTGTTTTCAAAAATAAGATACCATTTTGAAAACAAAATGATGAGGATGTAGAGATGGGTAGCTTTTAGCTTATACCTTAGGGTACACTGTATATTATGCAAGGAACTAGAATTCATCATTGGACAATCAAAAGTAGAGGGTTTTTTTTTTAAATTTTATTTTATTTTATTTGAGAACATACTGTACAGAGGGGTTACAATTACATGGGCAGGATAATGCATACATTTCTTACAAGCATTGCAGCCTCCTCCTTTGTTTACCCTTCACCTCCCTTCCCAGCCTCCCCCCTCCCTCCCGCCCAATCATACCCCCCCTCCCCCCCCACCACACCGACATTGTAGTAGAGGGGTTTTAAATAGATGATGAGAACAACAGAACAACACTTTATGAAGATCAATTGACTGCAGTGTGAAAGTAAATTGGAATAAGTTAAGATTAGGAAGGAGACCATTAAGGTCCCTAAAGATTAAATCCATGCATTTACCCCTGCTACATTCTAATATACCGTTATAAAAGAGGCAAAAGTAAAACCACAAGGAGAAAAATAACTGCAAAAACAAATCTTGCAAAATTGCCACAGGATTTATACTAAAGAATTCTAGAAAGGACACAGAGTTAGTAGAACTAGGTAATTTAAAGTAGCATTGAAAGAGGAGCTGAAAACCAGATTATAAATGAGTAAGAAGCCGAGCACTCCTCTCCTCCACATCCTGTTTCTGGATGATTCTTCCTACCCAGGTTCTGCAGATGATTTTGCATTGAAGACTGTGAACCAGATAAGTCCTGGATCAGGGAAGGAAGAACAAGGAAAGGGCAAGGATTCTACACCAAAAGTATGGATTAAATAAATATTTACAAGGGTTTATAAAGCCTGAACACTGAACATAGAGTTTCTAGTTCCCTCTCTAACAGTTCCAAGAATACTGGGCTAACACTATACTTACTAATCGCTAGCTAAAAGCTGGAAGTTTCTTCTTTAGAGAATTTGACCAGAAAAAGAGAAAAATCCTGCCAGGCACAGGTGGCTCATGCCTAGCTACTCAGGAGGCTGAGTTCTTGGGATCACAATTTGAAGCCAGCCTGAGTAGGAAGACTGTGAGATTCCAATTAACTACCAAAAACTTGGAAGTAGAGCTGTGGCTCAGTTGAGCAATATCCTTGAGCAAAAAAACTCAGGTACAGCATTGAGACTCTAAGTTCAAGCCCTAGGACTAGCACAAAAAAAGATAAGGTTCGTAGGCCCTCCAAGATTTAACTAAATAATCTTATGCTAATAATAAGCCCACTTAACAAAATTAAAACATTTAGCTTATCATTTTTATTATGAATAGATAATCAAAAAGTACCAGACATCTGAGGAAAGTATCTTAATATGATAATAACTAAAACAGAATAGAAAGATAAAAATGTTAAAAGAAACACTATTAAGAATAAAGTGCTTTTTGAAAAAAATTAGTATCCTTATTCTGTTATTTTATGAATCCATGAAATAAACATTGTGACTGCTTCATGAATCCACAAAGAACAGAATTCTATTCAAAAAATACACATACACACCATCCTAATACAGCATAGTTCTTGCTGTATTAGGCAGC